CAGTTAGCTCTTTAGCTCATATCAATTTTTATTTTTTCTTATTTTGACAATGTATTTTCCCGAAGAGAAACGTGTCTTTCATTCTTCAAATAGAAACAAGTCACTGTCGCTTCGCGACAAATTTGGAGCATTGCCCGTTTGAATGAGAAACGCAAGATCTGTCTTCTTCAATCAAATAATTCACCAGTGAAAATAAGAGGAATACGTTATATGAAATTTGGCTTTGTTACGGGCTCTAGTTGGGAACTGAGTTACATACTAAATCTATATCTATTATACTGAATATATTTCAAGTAAACTAGAATTTCGTTGTACATTCTACTTATCTTAGAATATTCAACAAAGCCTCGCCAATTATACAATCGCTCGTTAAGTCAAATATTCGATTCTTTCTTCAACAGAAAGGAAACGAGAAACACAAATTTTTACGTAGAAAATTCAAGAGAATCAATTTACCTATGGAAAGTTCATGGTTTGTCACGTATGGTTGGCTCTTATTGTAATTAATTTCTGCACCATGCTGTAATTAATTGTCCAGTGTAGGAATCATTCTTCCCTGGCATTCATAAAAACTGTTGCCGCTCCGATCGATGTATGTACTATGTTTAGTGTTTACGTCTTTCATTAACGATAAGCGCAATCGTCTGCGCTCTTCGTGACGGCCGGACGTTCGTGTAACGCGAAGGCCGTTACGCGTAGGAGATCCGGCGAGAGAAAGTTGACAGCAGCGCGAAGCTCGAAAGCTCGGTCGAGTGCCGTTTCGTGCCTAAAAATAAGATTTTCATCTCTTGGTCGCAGTGAAAGCCTCCCTCTTACCGCTATCCGGTGTATATACGCTTTTACTCCGAATATATCGGTGGTCGTGGCGTGTAAGCAAACATCGATACTCGTGGCTTTACTCTGCGGATGCACGCGGATTTCTGTTTTCTCTTTTCTCCTGGTATTTTTTTTTTCCTTTTTTCTCCTTGTTTTAGCTAGATCACAATAGAAGGGGATGTAACCCTTTGTCGAGCGTCGCGATTTTCGCGTGTAACACAGTGCGCGTATATGGAGTGTACGAATGAAGGGATTTAGGGTATTTTATAGAGGGAACGATGAGGTACGATATCGAAGTTTAGGTTTATAATTGATATATAGAGGAAGAGGTGCGGTATTAGCGATTGTTTCTTTGAAAGGAACGATTTCCCTTGTAAGAAGGGTTAAACGATTCATCCTTGGTTTTCTTTCAAACGATACTGTATTTTTAATCGAGAAGGTTTCAAAGGTCGGGCTTAATGAAAGACTGTATAATATGATACGCAACATTTCATAAATATTTCAAAAGTTTTTTTTACATTTTCGAAAGCTTATAAAAGCACAGAGATACAGAGTTATCAGAGAGTTAATAAATCTAAAATAAACTCCGTTGCGACGGAGTATCTGTAGCAGTATAATTTCATGAAATTCTAGTATGTAACTTTGGTTTTTTGAATGATCGAGTTCACCGCCTCCGTCAATCCAGGGAAGTATCACTTCGTTAAACAAAGTGAGCGATTACAAAAAATCGCTATAAATCACATTCTTTCGTTGTTTGAGTATTTTTATTTTTTTTTATTTTTTTTTTCGTACAAGAGGTACTTGGTGTTCTCGACGAGCAGAATGATTGATACTCGTTTTTACGCGTTGTATACAAACGAACTTTGTTGAACGGAATCGAATCATTCGAGCGCACGTGCACTCGAACGACATAAAATCTTTTTATTCCGGAAAGTCGAGCCTTGCGGGGATAGAAACGCGTTTTGCAGCTCCTCCTTGCGTTCGTTGTTAATTCAAAATAAATTGCCAACGAGCTGGCAATTATTAAAGTCAGATGCCTGGTCGGTAAGACGGCAAACGAAGATGAACTCGAAAACGAAAGTAAATCGATGGAGTGATTCAATAGACACGTTGTTCGAGTGAAGAATCGAGACGAACCGCGTTACGGGGGGCTTCGCTCGCTGAAAGTTAATACCCAAGCTGCTTGATAATCGATAATCGATCGGTCGTCGATGAACAGAGGCCTTCTTACTGGTGAAACAATCTGCATACGCGATCGATTCGCGTGGCCACTTTATTGATTCAGATGACACCACTTGCGAGTAACAAAAATCGCGAATATTACATTCGATCCATTAATTACAGGCCGTTTCGCGTTTCTACGTTATTACGTAGATCACCGATCGTTTTGCGATCGTAACAATTTGCCGCGATGAAACCACCAATTTGAAATAATCTCCTCGTACGAGACATTCTTGTATGTTTGATATTAAAGTTTGATTGTAGGTTGTTTTTGTGAATTTTACTTGGTACTTCGAGGTGTATTGTAGAAGCTTCCCTTATTTAAATATGCAAAATACAAGGTAAACTGCGAAGGTAAATTAGTAACGAAGCTGAGACTTTTGTTGAGTACATAGAGTCGAAAAATTGAAGTTTCATTTCGAGTCCAGATCGTCTTATTGCCAATCGAAAACGAGTGGAACTATTCGAGCTATACCTGTTATAACATGTGCAAATATTACTCTCATCGAACATCTCGGTCCCGTTGAAAATTTATATCTCAAACAGTTTCGGCGTGGAGGATCAACTGGTTTGTTAAGATGGCGACCTCGACACGCAAATACAATTTCATATTGTACGCACGATCGATAGAAAATAATATTGATAAGAAATATTTTATAGGTTTTCCAGTATTACATTATATTATGTATATATATGTAGCGAAAGAATCAAATTATTTTTTTAGTAGCCAATAAAATCAATAACATCTTTTTGTTCATTTTTTTTTTTTATCATAAAGTTTTGAAAGAGAGTAGAATTTACTGGGACGTACATATTTTTCTAATATTCTCACTAAGGACGATATTAGATGTAGCATAGCACAGCGTAAAGATAATACAGGATAATGTTTTGAAATGACATTATTCAGTTGAAAATAAAATTTCTACGTAGTTTCATGAGAATTCAGAGGTAATTTCGAAGTTTACAAATTCATTTGGAATAGAAGGGGTTGAAACTCTCTGTTTGCACTACTCAACGATACTCCGTTCGCACGACAGGTTGTCACGCTTGATTTTTGTTCTGATAAACGGCGGCCCGTCGCCGTTGAGAAAATACAACGTTCGTTTCGATGACATTGAACGGGAGGCACGTTATCACGGCTACGATAGCTGATAAAGGGAATAGCCGCCGTAACCGACGGGGGTTTGAGATTCGAATGAATCGAGTTCACGGATGGAAAACGTGGAAAATGGTCTGCTATGAATGGAGATTCAATTGCTCGAAATATCGACCGAGATAGAATTCCATAAAATGGTCGAATTTCTTTCTCAATCAGCATCCTTAGCAAATTTGTGACGTTTCTCGATTAGTTTCTCGATGACGCATTATCCAACACGTCCTTGATATTTTTTATTGTTTCACTTTGTTGTTTGCTGTTGGAATTTCTACTTTTTATGAAACACGCGTAGAAGATACGCTTAGAGTGTTTTACAATTAACGTGTGCTTGAGTCATTCGCAATCACAATTCTTTCGAAACTCGTCGCCTTCGTTATTCACTCTCGCTTTTGAAAAATGTATATCAGTTATGTATTAGGTTATGAATTCAATTTTTAGATCATTCTTTGTATTATTCGCGCTTTTTTAGGCGTTGGAAATGCACGTTAAAAAACCGTGCGTTTATTATATAAAACAGTTGTATTTTTATTTCCTTGCAAGTTTTATCATACTTGTGACATAATATCTTAGATAACATAAACACGATATAATAGTCTTTACTATTTTTAACGTACAAGTCGAGGCAGTTTTCATTATTTAAGGAAACCATATACTTTAGTAAATACTTTAAATACCTAAAATTAGTATTTTCAGTAAAACGTTAAGTTGTTCTACGTTCGAGAATCCAATATTTAGGTATGCCTGTATCTTTCGTAATGAAAGAATTAATTAAAAATTTCTAGAGTCATCGAATTAAAAATTTCGACTAGTTCTCAATGAATTCGATTACATTTCTAACGAAAATGAAACGACAGGTGGAAATGTAAAATATTTTCAAATGAAGGAAGTCATATTTTTTAGTTAATAGCTTGCCCGTTTCCTCCAGAAAAATTCTGTTAAATCTCCGAAGAAGTAGCTGTTTCGGTCGAACGTAGGGAGAAAATTGAAGACATTTATTTCACTTAACACACCCGCATCAATTTTTCGCTTTTTTTTGAACAAAGATTCTTTATAAGAATCTTTATTTACGGGAGAATGGGCAGTAGGTTTCCACGATCTATGCTAATCTTCCGAAAAAGAGCGAATCTCGAAGCTCGCTCTAAATATAAATTCGACGAGATGACGCGAGTGCCGCGACCTTGGCCATGAGAAATTCCGGAAAGCGCCCCGAAAACCCGCTGATACGTTCCACCGTGGAGGCGCCCGCATTCTGTATTAATAGTGAACGCCTCGTCTCATTCAAAATACGAATCTCCTTTCTACGTTTTTCAGCCTGTTTAACAAGGTCTTTTATTCGAATTCTTTTTGAACAAGTTTCCCTCGTTCGATTGGTAAAATAAAATTTTATTTCTTCCTTTCCAATCCACGGAAAATGAAACCTTAGATTGATGGAATTGTTAGTTGGATAGAAAGTTAAAATAGAAGTCTTTGCTGGAAATATTGTTGATAGATATAGTTGATTTTAAGATTTGTTAACGTTATTCGATTCCGTGTTGGATTCGTTCTTTTTTTTAAGAATTTCTAGAATTCGCTTATTTGTCTTTCACCTGGATTCTCATGAAATAAACATTTAATAGAAGCTTAGCACCACAATAAATTATGGAAATGAATTTGAATTTATAATAA